CATCGTATGAATTCTACTAAAATTTCTCTAAATTTACTGCACTAACTAGCAAGCTACACACCGTACAAGCTGGCCATTCTTGCGCGAGCGTCGTTTACCGCGCTTTAAATCGCGCGCGGGCCGAGTCCACGTGCAGCATTTAAATATTCGTGTTCTACCACGGGCAGCCACGTTATTGTTTTTGCCGAAGGATAGACTGGTATCCGGCCTCACGCTCTGCTAGACAATGTACACGCTCTGCGACAAACAGTGCGGCCGCGAACCAGTCTAGCCAGAGGCACCGACAGCAATTACAGAAAAGGGCAAGGCAGGTCACTGCCGTCGGTCGGGTTGAATTTTCAGGGGCAGTACGGCGATTGATAGGGGCACCCACGGCAATTGCCGTCGGTGCCGTCGGTTAATTCGAGCCCTGGTCAAGATGTATATATATATATATGCCTTGCATCGAATTCTGGATGTTTTGGTGGTCTGCTGAGTGTGCGCAGTGCTGAAGAAGAGTATGCTCTCAATTATCGTCGCATGTATCAATAATGCAGGTAGCCAATAGTCTATATATCGTCGTTCCGTGTTCTCTCCCACGCAGGTGTGCAACCGGAAACTGCCGTGCGGCCTGCACAGCTGCGAGGAGTCGTGTCACCGTGGCAACTGCCCGTCGTGCTGGCACGCTAGCTTCGACGAGCTGCGGTGTCACTGCGGCGTGGCGGTGATCTACCCGCCTGTGGCGTGCGGCACCACGCCGCCGGAGTGCGCGCGGCCATGCTCGCGACAGCACGACTGCGAGCACGCCGTCATGCACCCGTGCCACGCCGACGCGCGCTGCCCACCCTGCACGCACCTCACCATCAAGTGGTGCAACGGCGGGCACGAGCAGCGCCACCACATCGCATGCCACGTGACGAACGTGTCGTGCGGGCGGCCGTGCGCGAAGCCGCTGCCGTGCGGCTGCCACACGTGCCTGCGCACGTGCCACGCGGGCGTCTGCCGCGCCGGCGACGCCGCGCCGTGCGCGCAGCCGTGCGCCGAGTCACGCGACGACTGCGGCCACGCGTGCGCGGCGCCCTGCCACGCCGGCGCCCCCTGCGCGAAGACGCCGTGCCGGCAGAGCGTCGAGATGAGGTGCGTGTGCAAGACGCGCGTCGAGCGTCTGCCTTGCTGGAAACGCCGCAGCCTCGCGTCCAAGATGGCGGCGTCGCTGCTCGGCGCGCGGGTCAGCGAGATGCAGGCGGGCGAGGCGGTGAGTATCGACAGCATGCTGAGCGCGAGGCAGCGCGGCGAGGTGCTCGAGTGCAACGAGGAGTGCGCGCTGATCGAGCGAAATCGCCGCGTGGCGCTCGCGCTGCAGATCGTCAACCCGGAGCTGACGAACAGGCTCGGCAACCCGAGCTACTCGCCGTTCCTGCGCGAGTTTGCGAAGAAGAACCTCGCGATCGCGGCGGCCGTCGAGCGGCAGCTCACCGAGCTCGTGCAGGAGGCGAAGAAGTCGAAGCTGAAGCAGAAGAGCTTCTCGTTTCCCGTGATGAACCGCGAGCAGCGCCACCTGGTGAACGAGCTCGCGGAGTACTACGGCTGCGCGACGGTCAGCTACGACGTCGAGCCGAAGAAGAACGTCGTTGCGACGGCCGAGCGCGACAAGTGCTTCATGCCGTCCGTGTCGCTGGTGGCGCTAGCGCAGCGCGAGATGCATGGCCCCAAGTGCCCGATGCCGATCCCGCACAACGCGACCGCCGCCGACAAGATCGACCAGCTGAAGGCGGCGGCGAAGGCGGCCAATCAGAGCACGGCGATCATGGGCGCGACGTCGGGCGAGATCACCGACTATTTCGACATGACTTAGAATTGTGCGTCGCAGAGAGCGATTCGGGCGGGATACGCGCGCACGCGTTGTGGTGGTGATGATAGACTAGGTGGGAGCGGGTGGGGGGTGGTAGGCCAAACGGAAATGTTAGCGTGTGTTAAAACTCAGCGAACAAACGTGCGGTTACGTTTGTCGTCGTCTGCACGTTCTAGGTTGGAAGCTTTTTTTAGCCGGATAGGTTTTTCACTTGAATTAGAAGGTACAAGCGTGAGTGTTTGCATCTATTTGATAATACGTCTGCTGTAATTGGCCGTAGTAAAGCAGTGGTTAACGTGGCAGTGTTGTAGAAAGAACTACGCTACTTCGGTTCTGGGTATTGGCTTATGTTGTGATGTATGAGTGTGCATGTGATGCGAGTACGTTACAAGCGTGGTAACGAGTTTGCAGTGACAAGTTTGATGTAGCAGATTGCGAAGCATGGCAACTTTAGTGGAAATGAGTAGCTATAGAAGAAGAATCACTATACAATTGAATTTTCGAGAATAGCGTGTCATGTGTGCATAGGACAATATGCATAGTGTGTTTTTCTGGTTCTGAATGAATCTATCGCATCTCAGATAATAATTGGCAGTGTTTGGCAACAAATCGAGGATTGTTCAGTTATGATGAAATATCTTGAAGACTATTTCCAATACCTCTACATTTAGAGAGCTGCATGGGCATATGAAATGTTGTTGCTTTTATGAATAAAAACTGGATAAGATACCGTGCAGAAATGTTTTGCCTAATGTTAGTCTACCTACTGAACACAGTTTCCTTTAACAGTTTCTTACAAACCTTACGTTTTGTTTAAGTTCTGGGCATTTATAAGCTTATTTAATTTTCAAGCCGTCCTTAAAAATATAATATTTTACCTTTACATGGTGTTTAGGAATACATAGTTGTATAATCAATTCACAAGTACTAATTAATTTACATGATGTACAATCACACTGTACATATCTTTATATTCTTCATCACATATTCCAGAGCATTACATAGTTCAAAACTAAATTCTTTACAATGCCAAATAAAACGGCCTGGTCAGCAATATCCTGTAAAATAAAACCACCGGCTCGAACGTGTTAATTGTGCCCCTAAACCCCATCAAATATTTTCACAGATATAGTTGTGATATTACATAATAACATAGGGATATGGTATTTAAACAGCCTTACACAAATTCTGTGGTCCTGTCATGCCTGTAGCAATATAATGCCCTTACAATGGGTACAAACAAATAGTTGAACAAATATTGGTCAGTCTATATAACAAATGCATTTTGCCTTGTTGCCAGTGTTCACTTATAGACAATTAAAAACTAGTAACATTAAACAAAAGCTGTATACATAAATTTCAAATGTGAACACATGTTGAACTACAAAGTAAACCTGGTTCCAACATGTCTACCATTGATATATGGCTAAAATAAAAATAATTGTCGACTCATTATAAGGTACAGCTTTAATATGTCATATAATTCCTAGAATTTGAATGAAGGTAACAATTCATCATGTCACGTCCCAACATTGTATAAACGTTCATTCCTTCACGATGAACATGTAGAGTTGAGGAGATGATAGCGTTTATAAACAGCCCATTCCATCTTACATGTGATATGTCCCATTAGTTGGATGGATAATGACAAAAGCTAATATCACAAGCAGTTAGCATATTTAGGAAAGCATCACCTACAGACTTGTACATATATATTACACGTATACGTATAAACACGTGTGTGTGTGTGTGTGTGTGTGTGTGTGTGTGCGTGCGCGCGTCTAACCACTTGTGCATGTTGTGTGCGTGTGTGGGTGCGTGTGTGCGCCTGCGTGCGTGTGTGCACCTATAGATATGTCCATGGTATGAATGAGTATCTGCCACATTCTATAAGCATACCTTATCTAACACCTCTTCAGTATGCTAATATTAAATATAAACTAAACTGCTAACGCCATATATATTTGGCCACGATTTTTATGGCACTTTGCATGTAGCACACCTACACAACGTCATAAGGCAAGATGGGATAATGCATAGCTTCTAGATTGTAGATTTACACACGGGTGAATATTTGTGCAACTAACGTGAAAATATTCGTTCGTTTACAACGTTTGATTTTTAATTATACTCTACGTGACATAATAAAGCCTTCCATAATTGCGTGCACGTGCACGACCGACTGGGTGACTTGGCATACATAGTACAACTTTGCCTCTGCTTTGGAATTTGCACATCAAATGACTAGCGATTACTAAACAGCAGCACCAAACAAATCTAGCGACGATGGAATGCTAAATAATGCTCAATAATCCATGAACCACAGAAAATGGCTCTCACCTGCACGGTTCCTTTACATACTATTATTAATTATATAAATGATTCGATTAATTATCGTAAGATGTTGCGCATGACTGTGTCAATGCTGGATTCCTTCATCATCGTTCAGCGGTCACTGTAGGCCTTATATAGGAAGTTATTAGGATAAAAGTAAGGATATTAGGCTAATGGTGCGCGTGAACGTTGTTCAAGAAACAACCCAAGGTGGTAGACAAAAATCGAACAGGTTAAGGCAAATTTGTTAAAAGGAGATTGCGGTTGAACATTATATGCACTTGTTACTGATAAGTCACGATAACATGATAAACTTACTAGTAGTCGTCACTATCTGCTTGTTATGCCACCGTTTTATTATATATATATATATACACACGTATATATACACGTGTGTCCGAGCACATACACACATATGCATGGTAGCTATGATGAACCGGGCAGATATTATGAACATTATGAGTCGTGGACCCTAAAACCACGTGGAGTGTTCGTCATCTTCGTCCTCCCTCGTCACTGGTCTGGGATTATCATTCCCCTGCACGGGGACAGGGGGCGGAGATAAGGCCGGCCGGTCGGACGCGGACTCCTGAAGATTCGCAAGCCTGCCACCAGGGGGCTCGAACACCGGCGGCACGCTCGGCACGCAGTCCTTGCCGTTCGACGTCGCATCTGCGTCGACTCCGCCCGGACTCGGCACGCGGACGCTCGTGTTTGCATCAAGAACGGCGTAGATGTGTTCCGTCGGCTTCCCGCCGTTGTTCACCGGAACTTCCTCGTCGTCGTCGTTCCGCCGATGGTCGGTGAACTTTTTTCCGGAACGTCTCGTCGGGATCGCGTTCGACTCGACCTTTCGCGTGTCCGCGCTCGGGCTCAGGATCGGGTCAGAGGTCACCGAGTGCTTCTTCGGCGCGACCTCGACAGAGGGCGACCTCGCGGGTGTAAACGCCCGCCGATCGAGCGCCGGCTTGGTCGGCACGGGCGGCGGAACCTTCTCCGCCGGCAACCTCTGACCTCTGACAGCGGCGTCGTTGCCGGGGATGACGTCGGGCTTGTGCAGTCTGGCGGCGGCAGTCGGCGGAGGAGGCTTCCCCGGGGGCGGTCCCGAGGGGCGGCGGTTACTGTTCGTCGGCGGCGTGTAGGAGCTGGAGCGCTGAGGCGGCACGGGCCTCTCCTTAGCGAGGATTGGACTCTTCTCTGCCTCGATGCTGCTGGGCCGGACGCACTCGCCGTTCGTCTTGTTCTCTCTGTCGACGAACTGCGGGAGGGAATCGACGTCCGGTTAGTTAGCAAGACTGGCGCAATCAGAGGTGCAGGATAGTAGCGGAATCGCTGAAACCCTGCGAGGGAAATACGCGTACAGTCAAACCTATGTTAGTAGTCACCTCTATAGAACGGACACCTGTCTATAAAGGACATTTTGGGCGTTTCTCATTAATGGCGGTTATACACTGAAAGCACCTGTCTATAAAGAACAATTTTTGCGTTTTCCTTCAGTGGTTGTTCTACACAGGTTTTGCTGCATACTCTACTATCACGCACTTTTAGTGAGAAGCATGCATGCAGCACACCAACAATAAGCAAATAAATAGAATGCAGTCCACACCTCATAGATAGATACAACAGCATATTGACCATAAAATGCCATCTTTATGTCCTCCCATGCTCTTCACCTCACGATCGGAGTCCTTCCCTCATCTAATGCCTATCCTGTTGTGGGGTTAGTAAAACCACTAAGCATTTAGCTATTCGTTTTTCCCCATCATACCAACCAATCACTACTACCCATGCAGAACACGTAGACTACACGCAGATTGGACGGTAATAGCAAGCAAACAGCTCTAAGTGACGTTAGAGGTATCAGACTGGATGGATGCTGTCATGCAGAGGCACAATCTCTCTATGGAGACCTTACCCTCGCCTTTTCTATTTTCTCTAACAACACTGGCGGCCTCTGGGGAACCGGTGGAGCAGGCTTCTTCCTGCTACCTACTGGACTTCTGACTCGCGTACTCAGGCTGTGGAAAACAACAGCAAATACACTGTGAACGTGACACGGACATGTGTGTGTGTGCGCGCACGGTCGCTGCAGGCGCCCACATTCGCTTCATCCAAAAACCTAAATGCCTCCGTGTACCCGCAATCAATGTCGCTCGTCATCCAAATTTATGAACAGCATTTATTTAGAGAGCGTTGGACACGTTATATTTACATTCACATTACAGGGACACAGAAGAAACCAGTTTCTCATCTTTCAGTTAATTTTTTTCGAGATTTTCTGGTCGCAAACATGCTTTCGGGAGAAATGAATGTGGACGCCTGGACACGGACGCAGCTACCCGACATACCGAGTTGGGTTCTGTTACCGTCTCCATTGGAACAACCACCGCAGTTTCAATGGGAACCGGAGGCGCGTGCCTCTTCCTTCTCCTCCCCTCCTGCTTCGAACTGAAGACGAGCAAAATAAAACAAAAAAGAAAGCGCCAAATAAGTGTTGCGTTATTGATCCTACATTGAGTTGGAGAGACCTTGATACTGTCCTTTACTGCAATATTACTGCAGTAAGACCTCCCTTGGATCAAAGCAAGAGCTATGCAACCCATTATTACTTCCCTCTGCGAATGGGTTACAAAATATTTTAACATAAACAATATTATTTGAATGAGCAAATAAAAAGGCTATAAATAATTTAAAAAAGTAAGAGCGATGAACTCGCGACTGAAAATTGATCAAGCATATAAGATATTCAATAACACTGTGAAACTTCCCACTTCAGCCAAATTTAGTTGCACGCTAGATTGACTGAGTATTCCAACCTCTAGCTCTAGTACTATAGCCCGCTTTCATTAACTGCCACAGGCATATAATTGACTTATGGCCATTTTCATTTTTGCCAAAAAGTGGACGTGGCTCGAAAGTAGGTCGGCTGGCGTGCTCCAAAATAGGACGTTCAAACCTCTCCCATAGGAGTAACAACTATATGTAATTTTAAACATGTGGGTCAAATAGTTCTTGAGTTATCGTTGACCGTAGGCAGACACTGAAATGCATTGTGAAATTGCCAAAATCTACCTAATTTGCATAATTAAAAAAAATATCAAAACCCGTGTGATATGTTTTGGGGCCAGTCCTTATTCATTCACATACCAAAAATGAGCAAAATCCATTGAACCTGAACTGACTTGGCCATTTCCATTTTTGCCAAAAAGTGGACGTGGCTCGAAAGTAGGTCGGCGGGCGTGCTCCAAAATAGGACGTTGAAACCTCTCCCATAGGAGTAACAACTATATCCAATTTGAAACATGTGGGTCAAACAGTTCTTGAGTTATCGTTGACCGTAGCCAAATGTTGACGGACGGACAGACGGACGGACAGACGTACGACAGACAACACCCCATGGCAATGGCTCATCTTGATGATGTCAAGGCGAGCTAAATATCACGAAATCCATTTGTGTATCATATAAGCAACACTTAGTGGTAAGCAACACATACATATGCATTCAACTACCACACACAAACAAGATCTAGCTATACACTAGCTAGCACATCGTGGCTAGTGAATGCTGTTTCCACTGAAAAAGAGAGAGAAAGTGAAAGAGATACAGGGGGAGAGAGTGAGAGGTGGGAACGATAGAGAGAGAGAGAGAGCCTACCTCTCCCCCGGTGTCAGTAAACTAGACAGCGAGTCTTGGGAAGCGCAACGACTCGACGAAGTCAGCGAAATGTTGTCCGGTGCCTCGTGCCTGCTAGGGGGCGTCGCTGTCACGTTGAGCAAATCGTGAGACTGGTTGCGACGGCGTAAGTCGGTCGATGCCAGCGACAGTGCGTCGTCGCTCGTCAGGTGACTGAGCATGAACGGCGATGCGACCTTGACGCCGTCGGCAGTGACCTTAAACTCCTCATCTGCAAAACGGTGTCCGATAAGGCGTCACTCGCACACGTACTTATGAGAAAGCCACTTGACATCATTCGTTGATTCGCAATGCTAGCGGCCAATAAAACCGTATAATGGTATAAAACAGATTGCGATGATTGATTTTGTTTTCATTTCCAATTCCAGTGTAGAATTCCAATAATAATTAATTTATTAATGGTTTGCTAGGTAAAGCAGGAAGAAAGGCAGACCATAAAACCAGAAGCACCACCACCACCACATGCGACTCCCCTGCAATAAAAGCGCAGGATGTTTTACAACACCATATGATAGTATATTGTGTGTGGTTGTTAGTTGGTCTTAACAACACACTGCATGGTTTTGAGTGTGTCGCACACCTGAAATCAGAAGCACTATACCTAGTTAATTTTGGTTAGAGGTTAAGACCGTGTACTAGGTTAGTTTTAGTGTGCAGTGTGGCTGCAGTCTCATCGTTAATCTTCTGGAGATGATTTCACCACCACCGTGCTGCCCTCTAGTGTGAGAAGCGCCACCTGGCGGCAGGGACAGGCGGCTGCAGTGTTCGTTCTCCGCCGCAAGTAAGTTGTCGATCGAGTGCGCACGTTGCGGCTTCCCTCTTCCTCCTCCTCCTCCTCCGTCTCCCCGCCTTCTGTCCAGATCCTCCTGAATGTTCTCGAGCGACCCGATCGACCGATGCCGCAGCTGCCGCGACGCGGGCGCGCGCGCGAGCCCCGGCTCGTTCAACGTGGTCGTTGCCGGCGGCGACTGATCGAGATGCGGGTGGTAGATGACGGTCGGACTGAGCGACTTTGACGACGACTTCTTCGAGGATCTCTTTGAGACCTTGACGATGTCGAGAGCGCCGGACCGCGAGCGCGGCAGCTTCAGGTCGAGGAACGGCATTGAGCGGCTGCGCTCGGACGACGCGGCGAGCGGCGGCCCCCCCTCCTGGAAGCGCGCCGGCAGCAGCTTGAGGAAGGTCGAGTAGGGGTCGCGGTTGGACTTTGTCGGCGACGGCGTCTCTGCGGGCGACCCGGGCGAGCTCGACTCGGGACTCGAATGCTCGCTGCGGCCGAACGGAGACGGCGGGAGGAAGAGGGCACCGCCGTTGCTGCAGCGCGTCGCGCTGTCCTGGCTGCTGAGAGAGTTGCTCCGCGTGGGCAGCATGTACGGCTTGTAGTCGACGTCTAGAAGCAGATTCACATAGAGACACGCGCACGCAGAGCGAACTTCTAAACACTTAAAGGACATGGCAAGCATACGCCTCAGTTAACTGAGACGTTAGCGCATCGGGGCAAGTTGTATGTGCACAGAGGCAATGATTTCCTTCAAAGAAAAGTCATCAAGGTCACTCACTTTTCGGCAACCTTTTGCGTGGAGCAAAGAGAGACACATACATTATGTGGGATTTATGGGTAGGGGATGGAGACCAGTTAGGTAGGGCGATTTGTTGCTGCGGATATCATCTGATTTTCAGGGCAACCATGGTACTTGCTGTCGGTGCCGTGGTGAAATTTGAACCCCGCGGCATACCTATGTTAGTGTGAGGCGCTCCTGTACTAGATATAGTCTACTCGGCCAGCACACACTGGTGCGACGCGGGGTCAGTGTGTGTGGCATTACCATCGCCACATTAAATGCGATATGCTATGTGTAGTATGCGATATTAGGAACCTAAGTTTAGGCCCACCATCAACAGTAGTGGATTAATCTGTATATGCAGGGAATCGGGACGAATCAGCGTGAACATGCAGACACTTACTTCTGGGAGAACGCCGCTCCAGTGTATTTGTGCACTCTGCTTATTTTTCAGTATGTACTTACTAACTGACCTCTCAGTGTGAGCGAAATGACTACGCCCTGCTTGGATAATGTTGCTAGGTCGGTCACGCTAAACCTGTACATATGTTTACATTTCGGTACTAAGCAGAGCTTTAGATTGCCCCTATAGCGATGCTGCCTGGCTAGAGTTACCCGTAAATCACTCCGGACAGATACGTCAAATCAGAAAAATTCCTTAGAGTTATAGAGATGCCTGCATCAACTTAAAAGCATAAAAGATGGAAAACCCAGAGGAGGAAGCAGCCTTCGATAATCGCAGAAGCAAATGAATTGATGCAAATAGCAATCAAGTTCACTTTAATGGCATAAGCAAATGGGAAAAGAAGCCACGGGAGGAAGCCGTTGTCGATGGGGAGAGACAGACGACAGGCGTGCGGCGCACTGTCCGTAAACGACACTCACCTCCAGGAAAGAACCAGTCGGCGTGTTGAACGAGCGTCTCGATGATGGAGCTCTGCTGAGCCGACATGAACACATTCATCCTGCACGAAGCAACAAGACACGAGCGTCAGCAGCTATTCTTCGCAAGAGCAGCTCCGATGCTCTCCAGGCGAGGGAGAGGGGGAGGAATTACTGGTCATCATCGTCATCGTCGTTGTAGTTTTTGTTGTTTTTTGGTGTTGTTGTTGTTATTGTAAAATTCATCATGGATGATGAATTCTGATGAATAATCATCACGATTACTGACAGCGAACGATCAACCTTAAACATGGACAAAAAAGAAATAATTTCACCTAATCGTCAAATAAATGAACATCGTCACATGGCACTCACCCATCATCACCCTTGGGGTATATCAAGTTTGGTCCAAAAACTATTGCTACATTGGTCGGTGTCATCTTGTTCGTTTGGGAATGTGTGACTAACTTTGCCAGAAACTTGACAAGGTATCTGAAAATTGCAATGATGTCTCAAAATCACCTCATGTACACAAAGGAATATTATTTAAGCTAATTATTTATGAATCGAATGAAGTAAAAGTGTTCTTCACAGCCTAGGGTCCACGTCCTATCAGATAAATGAACTAACCACATCCAATTATACCCGGCTGGTCACTTTCTAAACTAGACAGAGGGCACTCACGGAGAGTGCATACCTCCGCCAGCGACATACCCCATAGGCCATACGACTCACGAACACATGAATAACCCACGATATACCCATGTAACATGTATGGGTTACGAGCTGGCTCGCTGCTCGCTGCTGGCTGCTGCTGACTGCTGCTGGAGCTGGCTGTGGCTGGCTTGACTCGATGCACTAATATCGATCGCGCGAACACACGAACACACTAACACACGAGACCGATCACATAACCTTCTCTAACTCCGTTGGGCAGAGGTAATAACTATCCATACTGTTACACGATAGTATCTGGCATAATGGCTAATGGAATATGATTTCATAAACTGATTTTTACAAATGCACGTGCATTCAAGTAGTTTTTGTTTACAGAATGCTATTTAAATAAATCAGTTAACTCATTTCCGTTTGCGAAACAGAGATCCTTCTATTTACATTTCAGAGAACCGTAATCATGTTAAACAGTCTCCGACTCCATCAAACTGATAAGTGATTAGCTAGATAAGATAGATCTTCACTAGAGTCAGCTCTAAAACAAAACCACAATTGCCTATCATCACATCTGCTGATTTCCTGCCACTAGAAACACAAGCCTACCTGAGGTTTGTATAATAAGTTTTTGGCAGTTTGCTACAAACTATCCACAGTGCTTGTAACTTGCTGTCTAAGTCATCAACTCTGCAAACAGACAATCAGATGAGACGATCAGACGAGAGATGATCATAAACTGCGTGATTAAACCACTGGCAGATCAAAATTAAAAGAAAATTCACATTAAAATTTGATGAAAAATCTATGAGAGGCATGCTATATATCGTCATCCACATTAGGATAGATTGGTGTTGGACAGACATGTATGTTGAGCTGTCCATTAGAGGATGTACTCCCCAATTCATGCACACATGCACGCGGGCAATTTAGCACGCACTGTTTTTTAGTTGATCAGTCATTAATTGGATACCATGCTGCAATACTTGCATTATTACATTCATTCACTTTCAGCATTGAATTTGTTCCCGTGCGACAAGCATCCACAATGCGTGATAATTCTTACCTGGTAGCTTCCATCCAATCATCATACAGGTCAAAGGTCATCAGCGGCTCAGGCAGCGCTCGCAGGTATTGCTTCAGCGCGCCGGTTATGCAGTGGATGTCGTACTCTGTCAGGTCCGGCGAGCCGACGTCAAACTCTGCAGTCAGCTTTTTGATTTTCGTTTTGCTGCCGGCGACACGGAATAAGCCCTGTGAGGAAAACCGAGAACATGAAACGTAAAAGCACGTTTGCAGAAGAAGGCATAGTTTAAAAAAAACTGTACAGTGTAGCTGAGACTGTGAGCGGATTACGGAACATTACGGCATAATAATAAAGTTTACTACATGGCATGGTACTCATGATACACAGTTATACACACACGGTAAGCGATTAATGCACAACATTAAACCGATTACATTTTTTTCAAAAGCAGGAACAAAAGATTTAACAATCAGAAATAGGTAAATTATCGAAACAACACTACGTGCAGGGAGAAGACAAGAAACATAAAACGAGTGGAGGAATTCCACGCCAAGACGAGAGAGAGAAAGAGGAAATCCGCCACTGACCTCCTCCTCGAGTCCAAGGTCGAGTATCGAGCAGATGCAGTCCTCTAGAACCTCTGCGACATCGCGATCCGTCGCGCGAAGGTGATCGTCGAGTGCAACCCCATACACGGGCTTCAGCCTGAATAGATCTAGAGAGAAAAGAGGGAGTCACCGAGTGTGACCCTGTACACGGGCTTCAGCCTGAATAGATCTAGAGAGGAAAGAGGGAGTCACCGAGTGTGACCCTGTACATGGGCTTCAGCCTGAATAGATCTAAAGAGAAGGGGGGAGTCGCCGAGTGTGCAGCGCAGCAGATGGAACTGTCTGCGATGGGGGCAGTCCACTATGCCTGCGGGGCTCGGAGACGACCTATATCGTTAGGAGGATGGTTATGGAGCATTTGACGTAATCTCGTTTTGTCTGCTAATCGACTGCCGACTTGCTTTTGACAAATTTTAATTGATTGCACGTAAGCTGGGAGCGTTCTACCACCGCGCGAGGCAGTAGAGAGGAACGAGGAGCTCGAAAACAGAGAAATAATCAATGGATTTTTTTTCGCAAAAATAAATCAAGAAAATTTTCTCGCGGAATTAAATCGATAGTGCTTCTGGAGTCGTGTGTTGACGCACCTCGTTGGCTGTGCAGTGCGGGTAGCAGTTCATCTAGGCAGGTGAGTGCATCCCTGTGACACTGCCTCTGTATCTCTACCAACTATAGCACACAGAAAATCGCAAGGTAATGAATCCGAAAACCACCAGTGAGGAAAGCGTGGGCGTATGTGCGAATGTACACGCATATTAGGTATCTAGGGTATCTAGGTCAGATTCACCGGTATGCATAACCGATTTTCGCCGTGGGTTTGGGCATATTACGCACGAAATGGCAATAAGTTACATTTAGGTTGATTTAATCAATGGTATCTTATGGATCGTGATCCATTTGTACGAGTTTGGATGGCCCACTATAAAGTAACCCACACTTTCAAACGGAGTGTTGACAAACAGCTACACAGAATGACAAACGTTATTTGTCAGGTTTTCAATGATTTAGTGATGGCCAACTTTCGTCCTTCGCACCGCGAAAAGAACATTTATTCTCGTGCACCTTTATCAGCAGTTGACCGAATTCTGCCTCCTTGGAGCACAGTCGGTAGAGTTCTGTGGCAAGAAAGTCCTGCAATACAAAATGGACGCATCAACACATACAGGTTTTTTCTAGCGTGTGCAGTGTTACGTACAGCAGCCCTGATAATGAGTGACAACAAGCAGACGATTCATGGTCAGCGCTAATAGGAAATTGATCAACTTAGAAAAGAGCCTAAACTAAAACGAAAAGAAGATCTTACACAAAATTGATAGCAGCCTGCAATAAATGTGCTCAAATAATCTATGTTCGAGGAATGCCGGTTAAGAAATTTTCCACTTTAAGCCGAATTGACCATGCGGCACAACTTAATGTGGTCGAAAAACGCAGGTGCATTCTACTTCGAATTGCCTATTTTATGTGCGTTATTTTTAGCTGCACACAATGGCATTTTCGAAAACACGGTAAACATTGCAGGTGATAATTCTTCCTACAACGGGGGGTCTAGACAACTACCCTGGTCGCTCCACTGCCCTCAACACAGGCCCAGCCCTCCCGCTCACTCACCTTGCACTGCTCTGTCTTTAATAGCAGGTCATCCATCTCTGCTTTTGTCTGCTCTACCTTGGCCGCGTGAGCAGCGATACCGCTGCTACCAACCTGTGCTGATTGACGCACTGACGTTTGCCACCTGTACACGCAGAATTCCACTCTCATCTTAAAACCGCACACTTACATGAGAAATGAAATCTCTACTCAACGAATGCAATGAGAGCAGTAACATGATAGATAGAACTGTTCTTTGTGTTACTTCTGGTATTGTGTATCGTACAGACTAACTTTTAAGATCACACATTTGATTTGATAGCATTTGGCATGCGTTATTACTTGTTAAATTTCTATGATATTTTTTTATTAGAGTGGCTGTACTGCTGTTGAATTAACTACTGTATGAACTCACTTCTGTTTCAGTACATCCAGCTCAGCTGTCATCTTTTCAAGTTGCTTCTTCAACTTCATCACGTTTGGGAAGTCGTTCTGTAAACAGACGCCTCACGCTTTAACATCGTTTTTTTTCACGCTGCCGTTTCAAGGCCGCCGTTCTGGTGGCTCATTCGCAACAACGGGCTAAGCCACTAAAAAAGACGTTATCGCGGATCTATCTATCAGTTTCTAAAAGCAACAACGCGGCAGGTGTCAAGAAGGAGTTCGTGTATGTAGTAAGCACCGTTCCCACAACGACGACGCGCAGTGATGTTTAACTCGCTCTCCCTTGGCTTACCCATCTCTCTCCCCGCAGTCTGCCTCTCTACAGAGACTCTGATCTTACCAGACTATTGTTTGCTCGCTAATAAATGACAGCTACTATAGTCATTTACACAAGCGTAATACACGAGATGGACACGATGAAAGAAAAATATGGGACATAGATAATTTTATGAAGGTAAAGCAAAAAGATTCTCCCACCCCGTCTCTCCCACGTGCTCACCTCTCCCACTCCATCCTCCACCCCTTCCCTTATCACCTCTTTCTGTCACCTCTTCAATCCTGACCCCACACTTCTCCTCACCTCTCCCACGTGCTCACCTCTCCCACTCCATCCTCCGCCCTTTCCCCCATCACACCCTTCTAACCCACCCCACCCATTCCCCCGTGCTCTCCTCTCAACCACCTCCATCCCCTCCACCAATTATCACCTCCCGCCACACCTTAGTACCCCACACCCCACCCCCCCACCTTCGCCCCGATGCTTCCATCTCATAACCCACCCTCCATCCCTCCCCATTATCACCTCCCAAACCTTCCCCACACCCAGCCTACCCCTCCTCCGGCTCACCTCTCATAAACCACCCTCCACCCCCTTCCCCATTATCACCTCCCCCACACCCCACCCCAACCCCTCCCCGGTGCTCACATTCCTGTAATCCATGCCACCATCCGCCTCCCCATATCACCTCCCTCGACCCCCCACAGCCCACTCCATCCCTCCTCCGTGCTCCTCCCCCTAATCATCCTCCATACCCCTTCCCACAACCTTCCTGTCCTCCTCGCCCCGATCCCCTCCCCCCTGTCACCTCCCCCCTCCCCCCACGCCCCCGCACTGCTCCACCTCGACGACGTTATTGAGCGGGACAAGCACGTCGTCCTCGAGCGTCGTCTGCGCTACGGTGGCGCCCTCTGCGAGCGTAGCGTATGCGTCGCCGCACAGCCGGTACATCAACGCAAGCGTGCCGCCTCCGCCGACGCTTCCGCCGTCGTCCAGCAGCGAGCGATTCTCGAGGAACTGGGCCGACATCTGGGGCCTCGTGAGCTGCTTCCGCTGTGCAAGTCATCGCGTGCGTTAGTCGATGGATGCTGCCGCGCGACGGTGCGATTGCCGTGGCGACGTCGCGAGAGAATGTGCGACATTCGGAATATTGAATATCTCGCGCGGACGTGGCGTCGGGCCGGCGGCGCCGTTGCGAGAGAATACGCGACATTCGAAATATTGAATATCTCTATAATAGGCAAGATATAGATGGTTTTAGTGTCCACGGTGTATAACGTTCATCACATACGCCCGGTTCGTACCATATATTACATCTGTGTACGTCATTGATACATCATTGAAAATATGGATATCATTATATGTTGAAAATCAATACATTCGGAATATTGAATATCTCGCGCGACGATGCGGTCGCCGCGGCGCCGTCGCAAGAGAATATGAAATATTGAATATCTCTCGCGACGTTGTGTATTGAATTTCAACATATATAATGATATCCATATTTTCAATGATGTATCAATGACGTACACAGATGTAATATATGGTACGAACCGGGCGGATATGATGAACATTATACACCGTGGACACTAAAACCATCTATATCTTGCCTATTATAATATTATATAATATATAGTATATATATATACATTATACATTATAATTAGCTTGTATATATATACATATATAGCCTGTGCATACTTACATAGCACAGGTATAAAGCATGCCTTTGTTTGCGTGAAACTATTACCTGTATTCTGGCAATTAAAGCTGAACAGATACAACAGCTGAATATGCTTCCTAGATGATTCATAAATATGAAACAGACTTTACATGCAGGAAGTTATGAGCAGAATTTCTGCCAGCGATTGTCTAAATTTCGCTCAATTATTCATCCCTGGCTTGTGTAAACAAAACACGCGATTAACTTGTTATTTTATATCTTGCCATACTGGTTAACGTCCACGTCCGGAAAACCGCTGGTCGTTTTTCCATGCGCTTCCGAATGAGTTGATCGTCTATCCTAGCGAGATCATCACGTTCTCTGTGTATGTTGTTGTCGGGTCAGACAAGCTAGACATGTACGTATGTACATGTTTTTCACAACACGAATGCCAAATTTCCACATTTGTGACATTTTGCTACTAAAGCCTGGCGCACACGTGAGTAATTTTACTCAAGTAAAATAACGCACGAGTCATTTTACTCACGTGTGCGGCGGATTTTCGTTGAGTAATTTGACGCATGCGTCATTTTACTCAATATCAAACGTGTTTGATAATTTTTGACTCATTTACTAAAATGACGTCATTTTACTCAACGTGTGCGCGCGCTGAGTAAATTTACTCAACACTGGCACTCACAGCGCATGCGTTTAAATCATTTTGCGCCCATGCAGTATTGGCTGCGCACAGTCACGTGATCTGCATTACCACTTATTCCTTGGGTCATTTTACTCATGTGTGCGGCGAACGCTGAAAATATTACGCGTGAGTATTTTGACTTATGCGTCATTTTACTTGAGTAAAATTACTCCCGTGTGCGCCGGGCTTAAACAGCATTTTTAAAATGCGCCCTCATAACTCTGATTGGCTATACCTGCCCGTCAATCTAAAGTCAATTGCTGCTTCTTTGAGTTAAATGTAGGTTTGAACTTACCCGCCGTTTCTCAACGTCCTGTGTACCTGGCGCCCCCTGCAGAGACACCAGTTTCTTGTAAGTGGCACTGCATGTCTGCTCCAGAAGCTTCACCCGTTTCTCGACGGAGGCGAGATCCTTAGAGAGAACCTCCTTCTTCTCAGTCCTGGAAGCAGCAGAAGGATATATATATATATAAATGATGACAAATTTTGAATAATTTTGGCAAATTTTGAATAATTTTGACAAATTTTGAATAATGACACATATTTGTCATTATTCACCCTTGAGATACACATATGTAGGAAGACAGAGCAGTATGCATGTGCGTATGTGCATGCGCGCGCGTGTGCACAAGCGTGCATTTGAATAATTTTGGCAAATTTTAAATAATTTTGACAAATTTTGAATAATGACACATATTTGTCATTATTCACCCTTGAGATACACATATGTAGGAAGACAGAGCAGTATGCATGTGCGTATGTGCATGCGCGCGCGTGTGCACAAGCGTGCATATATATATATATATATATATATATGTGTCTGTGGATCCATCCGTGCAAACATCCGTCCATGAATGTGTGTCCATCATTTTCCATCAGGCTACAATTTTCGGAAATGATTCAGATTTCAACTTTCGTTAACGACAACTTTAACAAAAACTTGAAAACACATCACCTTTAAAACTTTAAAATACCAGTTTATATGTTTAAACTTTAGCAGACCACCGGAATTGATAAATTTACACAAATTTATCGCAAGTCTCTGATAAGGGCTTGGCACGATGAGATACAATGCGTGACCATATAATACATTTCACACGTAATACCCTTAGGAGTGAATAAAAGCAATCATAGCCGATATTACGTAAGCTACTGTGCTAATTACCAAAATGATAAGACATACTGTTAGTAGAGGTAAAGATTTCTTGCCTTAGCAAAGATAGAAAATCTTTGATTCTGCGAATTCGCTAGACAACTGTGATTGTGTTACTGTTAGCGTGCGATTTGATCAAGAGATGTACCGGATAAGGTCAGGAGAAGGCCCTATCATTGCCATCAGACACCATCCTTATTCTGTTGAGCACGGTGCGCCACTAGCAAATATGTGTGCCACCAAAGCCTAGATAATTCCTTCATGCAATACGTGGATAGACCACTGATCTCTATAATAAACGATTTTATTATAGTTATCAGTGGGATAGACGGACCATCACATTTTAACAATGCAGCATTCTAAAACACGATCATCGTGTCATCCCGCAACCATGGCACATTAAACGAGGTATTTTATAATAGCTGGAGGCAAGGGTTAATGTCCTTTTTATTCTTATACAACGTTAGCAGGAAACCGAGAGCTGCGGATAGGCGCGTATACTATATGTGTACGCTCAAACATTACCCTAATGAAAAGGGGGAAAGCAGAATTCACGGGCATATATATTACATAGACTTACTGCCAACGTCCCTTTCGCTGTGCACTCAGTATTTGATGGCTACACGTTGGTGATACCAACAATGACTTGCAGGGTCAGCCAGTATATCACGGGTAATTAGTCATTATAGCTGGTACACTGTGAATACAAGCATCGGGCAGAGGACATTGCGAAATTTATTACGGTGACTAGTGGATTGGACACAATAGCGTGAAAATAAGGTCTCTAAATGTTAAATATTATAGCAGGGTGAAATGTAAATCAGTTGCGCACCGTACAAACACTATCTGTACACTATAAATCAGTGATGTATGTACGACTGCGGCACTACAAAGGTCAGTAATTTATGTTCATAAACGCACACACGCACACACACACACACACGCACGCACGCACGCACGCACGCACGCTAACACGCACACTGTATATAACATCAGTAGTGAATAACAAGTGCCGCAGAGCAACAGCGCTCATCTAACGTCTACTGCGGTGACTCTGTGGTGGAGTGGTGGGATTCTAGTAAACCCTGTTAGTCCCAAATGTGTTCACATACACGCCGAA